GACTTTTTGCCGATCAGGAAAGTCGAATGATTATTCACTTCGATAACGATGATCAGAACAATTTTTTTGTCGTCCGATTATGAACTGAATTATTTGGAGGTCTGAGGGTGAGGCTGTGTAGGGTAAGGGTGGGTGGGGGTGAGGGTGAGAGTAGGCACTTGGTGCTGAACGGTCGTTATTACTCAAATGTCGGTCGCTCAAATGTCGGGGCGCTCAAGTGTCGGTCGCTCAAATGTCGGGGTCGCTCAAATGTCGGCCGCTCAGATGTCGGGCGCTCAAACGTCGGTTAATCACATTTACGCTGTTTACGGCGTTCAGCTTGACGTTGTTTACGACGCTCACTTGCATATCCAATTCGATGTGCGCCAGTGTGTTTTGCTCCAATTGCTGTTCTTCTTGCCACATGATTTCTTAATCGAGTATTGTCATATTGTTTAGCTCAGCAAAACAGAAATACTTGAACTTTTCTAGGACAAATAATTATCAAACTTACTATCATGTTCATATTCTATTTGTTCATCACCTTCTTGTTGTTGTTTATAATCGATTAATCGTTTTAATCGTTCGCTTGTTCTATTAACACATATATATTCAATTTTATATGTGTTTTCAACACATATATATTCATATCACCAGCACCTGAGTGTCCAAAAAAAACGTGATTAATCTGGAAGGTAGCAAAGGACAAACTAGAGAGTAATAGCAATCACACAATATTTTAATCACTTACCACCGATATTCTCTTTCATATTTAAAACTTGTGGAAAATTAACTCGATCCTAATCAAATTCACCAACAACAAATCGAATCGACGTTGGTATTCCACATAATTTTTCCATTTTATACATTTTTTTCACCAGTTTTCTCAATGTTATTCTTTCTTTCAATTCTTGTAATACATCACTGGATATCTCAATAACCAATTCCGGTGTTGAATCCCTGGTGTTTTCCTCGGGGCATGCAGCAGCTAAGCCCCAAAGCACACGAGTACTTCCACTGTACGATTGTCCACCGGTAGTAATGATATCCAAAATTCTGTCTATATATCCATCAGCATCTGAGATGGCTGTTCAGGGCGAAATGATTGATAAAATTGTTGTACAGAAGAAAAAGAACATACACGGTTAGAGATGCGCATAAAATCATTTGACATGTACGTTATACGCGCGTTGGTCGGTCTTCAACTAATATAATTAAAATATCATTACCCGTCACAAATCTAAAACAGAAAAAAAATTAAAATTTTTTATCGAAGTTGTTTTTGAGCTTCACGTACCCATTTGATTCATCTTCTCGTCTCGCAATATCATCTCTCAAAAGATAAAGAGCACCAAGAATCGCTTTTTGATCGTCAACTGGACTAAGTTTTAATTTTTTTACTGCTTTTGGATCAAATGAACGATGACGATATGTCTGAAAGAAAGGAATAAGAATAAAACCGAATGTTTTCAAACGTACTGTTACAATACATACCTTTTGACAGACTTGACGAGATCGATCATAAACTTGCTGTAAATGTAATGGGTTATTTTGACATGATTCTAATAAAAGATTTCGAAGAATATCATGAATGTATAGTAAATAATGTGTATTACAACGGGTATAATGGATAAAATCATCTGGTAATGGTCTGAAGATACACAGAAAAAATAACAACAAAGCTTTAGCTCAACTGAAGATCAAGGTCGGTTCGATGACTAACCGTATTCGCCAATCTGCATTTTGATATTTTTGTTTGTTTGTATGAACGTTACAATATGTTTCAAGAAGATTAACTCAATCCTAACGGTAAATTTAATTGTTTTGCTGCATAAAAAGTATCGAATAAGTTTACGATATAGACAGCAAAATCTCTTTGTAACCATTCAATGTCAATATCGGATGTATGCAATACCTAAGCGGAAAAAACAACTATTAGCTACAGTACTTTTCTAGATCTGTTTCTGACCAGATGGACCAGGTAACTGGAAAATGGCTTGACTTGAAATATTTCTAAAAGAACCTGACTTGATTTGTGGCTTGAGAAAGGTCAAGTCGAGTCATCTATCCACAAAATTTCAAGTCAATGATTTGACTTGTAACTTCAAACAAAATGATTTGTCCGGCTCTGTTCTTCTATGTTTATTTCTAGTCCAGTGCCAATAGGAGAAGGCCTGACTTACTTTAACTATACTTGGATCGGTGAAAACATTGTTTAAAACATGAAGTTCATCTCTTAATGCTAATGCATCGACCAGATAATCATTTGTTCGTGATGACATTTGTATAAGGCACGTGAAGCCATAATATGAACGAAGTTGATGTGCTTCTAAATCGATTGCTAATTCTCGTTGTAATTTAATATGATCCAGCATTTTATTTAATTCGACTTTACAATCAACATAAACATATTTTGTATCATCTAGAGATTTCGGTACCTACAGATAAACATACAGATAGAACGTTCTAAATCAGGCACATATCCACTATATTGTACCTGTGGTGTACGTAATTGTATTTGTTCAAGCGTTAATTTAGATGCCTGGATTTCTCAATAATACGGATTTTGCAACCTGAAAGAAACAGACATTACAAAGATAAAAGAAAGATTCGTACAGTTTTCGTACAGTTCAGGATATTTTTTATGAACTTCGTGTATAATTTGTCCACATTGAATCTGTGTGATAATAGTTGCACACGTAAAAAATCTAAAAGTAAACAACGCGTATAAAGAAAACATGTTTTTTTGTCAGCAACTTTATTTTTTGATTTACCTGATAAAGGACTGATAGCATTTAGTTTTAATTTTATCCTTGGTATAAATGGAGTTGTTTCATTGTTATTCACTTTATCTGTAAAATTGAGCTGTGGTTTTTTAATAACTTCTCTCTTTTTTTTGGATACATCATAAGAACGGCTGAACGCTAGAGAGTGCGATCGTTTAGTGTACATCTGAAAGAAACAAATTAGGGCTAAGCGTCAGAAATGCTGTCAAGAAGATGCTAGCAAGGAATACTATGGAGCTCCGCTAAACGGTTCAGATATGAACAGTGAATAACCCACCGGAAAATTTCAAAAAATTCTGCATTCGTCTGGTAAAAATTCATTTTTTTACATTCTACGATTCCTAATGGTCGATTCTTATGTAAGCATCTTACTAGAAACGTATAAGTCTCTTATCAGTATCTTATAAGAATCTTATTGGTTTCTTATATAAGTGCTTACTCTCTTTATGTTATTGTATCAACTTATTTTAGGTAGGAATGTAAGTTAGGTAAAATATTGCCCGATTAGCTAGTTAATACATTCTAAAAGTTTTATATTTCGAAAAATAACAGTTATAGGAATACAACTCACAAGTCGTATCAGTTTTAGCAAAAGTGTTTTGTCTAGAGATCACGAAGACAAAATTTCTGAGATGCTTTAGAAGAAATGTGTTAGATTATCTCGTTTTTTGCAAGATGTTGTCACTTTTTTTTTTGTCGAGCTCTTAATACTTCTAAAGTGAATCTTCTCAGATTAAGAAATTAGCAATCGCATTTTTACTTTAATACTAAATCTCGCTAAATAAATGAATACTTTACTTTTGAGATACAAAAGCACAAGTCCTGAACAGCACGTCAAAAAAATTTCATTTAAAGTTTTGATGAAACTTAACTGATGTGTTTCATCTGCTTATGAAGAGTTAGCATTAAAATAAAATACTACTGTATGGCTAATTTGTGGATCTAAAAATAGTTGTTTTAGAAACATTAAGGGCTCGCTAAAAGGCAATGTGTTAAACAAACGAAAGTACATCTAGAAAATCATGAGGTAAGAAGTTAAGGAGGATACACTGGTTAACAGTTTTCAACATTTTTAAGACAAAATATGATAAGGAAACAGCAGTTTTATTTAATGATGGGCCGAAACACTATGAAACGAAATAAAAGGAAAAAATTGCCTAATTTCTGTTCATCAGTTTTCTTTTCTTTCATTTATGACTGAAATTTCGTACAAGAAACGAATGAAAATCACACTTCTTTCTTTCGTTTAACTCTTTCTGCTCATCAGTATATAGTACACGATATAATAAAAAGATACATCAATCTTCGTCGAGCACCAATAGCTCAATGGTACGTATCTTGCTTTCTATGCTTTAGGTCTCATGTTCGATGTTGTTTTTTTGGGAAATTTTGATAAACTTGTTTCAACGCTTTGATTCGAGAAATGCGTCTAAACGCTCTTATTTTAAAAAACGCGTTTCAACGCTTCAAATGTTTCATTTCTAGACCTAGCATTTGATGAACAAAACGCGTTTAAACGATTTTATCTTTAAAAACGCGTCTGAACGCTTCAAATGTTTCATTTCTAGACCGTTTTTAAGCGTTTGATGAACAAAACGCGTTTATACACTGACAATTTATTCTGATACTGTTTTATCACAGAATTAGTCTGTTCACAGACAACAGTATTTAAGTGTGCATATTTCGGGTGCTTTCTAATGTTTCTTTCGTTTTCACACATATTTCTTCTGTGATTTTTCTGGTGCAGCTTATCAATAAATAATTCCGACTTGAATACAAATTGACTTTCATTGGTTTTCTTGATTAATTTTCCATAATTTTTATGTAAATATAAATACACTGAGCACGCGTTATCATATATAAAGCATTTTGATATTAATGTATCATCGTAGAATTGTTGAACACAATCCAATAATTTGAACCAATGCCAGAGACAAATAAATACTTGTTCTGAACGGAATAGTTCGTCGAAAGCCAACACAATACCGCATGGACTACACGTATATATAATTCCACTGGATGTTTTTCTCGTTTTTCCAACAAAACGGTCAATTCGACGTACGTTACACCCACTAAAAATACCTTTTGACTCATCAGCATTTGAGTTTTTACACATTTCATCCGAAACTAATAATTCACCTTTACACGTATCACAATATAGCGCTTGTTCGCCATTGTTTGCTTTTCTATTTGGGATTCTTGATGGCGTTCGACCACATCCGAAGTGTAGTTCAGGAAATTTCCTCGTCGATATAAATTTATTCTTATTTGAACAAATATGCCGGTCGCTTTTTTGAAAACCGTCCGTGACAAAAGCTTGTCCGCGACCTTGATCATCATCGGATTGCTTTTCTGATGTTCTCAAACATTTAATATTGTTGTGGTGTGTAGACCAAAACATGACAAACGCTTCATACCACCAACTAAAATTTTTTTCATAGAAATTTGTTACGTGAACGTCATTTAATGTCGATGGTATTATAAAATAATCTGATTGTTTCATGAAAAATGAATACAGACTACATTCATAGATAAACCAATCGCGTTGCAATTGTCTTCGATCTAATGGATGGTCATCTTGAATTATTGTCTCATACAATTGGAGTTCTTGTTGTTGTAAACGTTTTAACCGATTGTTATAGCATTCGGCATAATTGCGAAAGCCAGTGTAAGACGTTAGAAACTGACTCGAAAAATTGATCAGAACATTTATATGATAACAATTTTTTCCACTAAAGTACACATACTCCTGGTTATAAATACTTTGTACACAAATCATGGTTGTTCCTTGTCGATCGTCGTTAAGAAAATTTGGAAAATATGTAATATCACAACATGACGCATTGTATATCGATCCAGTTCGTGTACGATCGAATAAACAATCGGTTACGGTATACTATACCGTAACCGATTGTTTGAATGTTGGTATCAACTTCTGATTACATTTCATACACTGTTGAGTGAATGGCTTCAGTATAATTGTTGCTAAATGTGATAACGACCTTCTAGTCAATATTGATGTCGCCGCTATTGCCTTGTCATTCATATATTTCAACAATATTTGACTAATATCATAGTTATGATATAGTTTCACCATTAAATTAGAATGTAGTTTTGAGAGAATACAGCGAATGTCTGCGTCGTTTACCGTTATTTTCGTCATCTTTTCATTAGTACTATCAAAATTGTAATTTTCGTTCATAATTGAGCGAATATCTTTTATTCTAGTGGCAACATTTACATCGATATGTTTATCAAGATCATTTACAAAAGATATTAATTCAAAACTATACTTATCATTCATCACCAATGCTAACTGCACTGAATCAGCATGTTTTAGGGTATCTAAGAGATAGACATCTCGTTCTTTCTAGTCTAGAATTTAAAGTTGAGCAAAACATATTTATTTTTCGTTGCAATATTAGATTAAAACTAGAAGCTCTGTGATACATTGCCGATGATGCTAAAGAAAAACACTTGAGCATTAAACAGATTTTCGTCTATAATTTTTTTGGCTGAAGCTAAATTAATCCGAGCCAATATACAATTATTTTTTTCTAATTGAGTTTGTATTTGAAAATAAAATATAAACTAAAGCACAGTAGCTTCCGACAGGTACAAACGAAATAAGGTTATTTGTCACTTTATTATCAGAAAACGAATACATGAAAAAATTGTATATATTCTTGACTGTTAACACACCTAATAAATTACAATATCTAATGGGATTGATTAATACTACTTTGATTAAATAATCTAGTAACTTAGATACACAAATACAAAAGAAAAATACATATACAAGTTCCTAGTTCTAAACAGAAAAACGAGTAAAAATAATACAAAATTGAAAAATATTAATCTATACATTAATAATTAAATTAATTGTAAAAAATGAAAGGATAAATCTAATAAAAAAGCGAAAGGAAATAAAATTTATCATTTGGACATTTATCATCGTCATTTGGACACTGTGAGCAACATGAGATCATTCATCTTTTTTCGTCTTTTCCGTGCGTTTATTTTTTCTTGCTCCCGCTGTTGTATTCGCCCGACGTTTACGTGTTATTATTTTAACTGTTTGGAATTCTGTGTAATTCTCATAATTTGTAGACTGTTCATCATGATGACTTTTATCGTGCATTTGACAGTGTATCAATACTGATAAACATTCACCAATTGTTACTGAATCAATAGATTATAGATAGATTATCAATAGATCGATAGAACATTAAAAACGGAGATAATAATATTTTTCGTTGATCGGTCAATTCGATTGGTGTATTATGCGAAACATTGTTATCGAATAAGAAGAACTGCAGTGGCATTAGTACGTTTGCATAAATCGATACAGCAATTTCTACAACCTGCAATTCTTTAGGTAACGGTGATGTTGGCACCGTACGTTTTTCATTTGTTGTTAAAGATTTTCGTGATGATCCTGGAAAACAATAGGTGTTTAATTACATTGACCTAAGTATTTTAGTAAAGCGACGTATGCGCTCCATAAGGAAAAAAACAGATAAACGGAAACACAATAAACGTATATACAACGCATGCCAAAATTTGAGTGTATTATTTCATTTGCTGCGGAAATAATATCACTATTAATTATATTGAAATTGAAATTTTTCACTTGATGACAAATTTGTAAACAATCAACAAGAACTTGTAAATTTGAAGTCAGACGAATTATTTGTTCACATCCTCGACGTTCGGTTGCTAGTTCGTGAAGACTCGACGAGCTGGCTTGTATTGCTAATGATTCACTGTCTGTGCCACGTCGTAATGCATCAAGAATAGGTGATAAAAAATTTAATGCAGCTGGTGTAAATTCTTCTTCCCAACAGACCGCGCGCAGGAAAAACATGTTGTAATGACGGTATTCCATTTAATTGTAAATCATCATAATGGCCATCTCCTGTTGTACCTTCAGGTAAATACCAATACAAAAAGCGCTGATGGAAGCCAGTCACAATTGGGTGGTCGTTCTATTTAATTAATATTGCTTGCATTTTTGATCCTACACACAGAAAAGGAGGCTCAAATAAGAAACATTAGATCACTATGTATATCAACATTCGATAGCCAGAGAGATTACGTATGACATACACGTCGATGCAACCGACATCGATAGTGAACGATCTTCTATTGCTTCACGTTTATTCATATTATGTCGAGTAATTTTGTCCCCATTATATAATGATATTATCGTCCATGTAGTTTCTTCATTATTTAAAGATGGTTTATAAAAATTCATCGCTGTCATAATTCCATCTGATTCTGGTGAGCATATCATTATATTATTCATTGCAATTGAGTTGAGTAGTTGTGGATGTGACAGAATTTGCTCTATAAATGATATATCATTAACAGCATTTGACAGTGTTGATTGTTGTTGTTGATTCGGTGATTGATGCTTAATTGAAAAAAAACTTAACAGTTCTTCTTTTTCACTTTCTGGCCGACGTTCGAACAACAACTTCTCAGCTTCACGGGCTTCTTCATAAATGGTTCTAATATATTTCGACTTCGACGCACCTTGAAAGTAAACGAGAAAAAACGTAAAATATATTTATGTGCGTAGAAATATGTAGAGAATAGAATTTAATGAGAAGCCACTTGCTTACCCGATGATCCAAGAAACATTGTAAACAACTGATGAGGATTGTATCGATGTGGCGAGGATGTATACGTCGAAAAATTTTCACCAAAATATGGTAAGGCTGATAATGTAGCAATAAATAACGGTAATGTTTCATGACCGAAACTACATTCATAATTGAGAAAAAAATCAAGTACTGTTTGATTTGACATAAAACTGCGTAATGTGTACTTTGATGTTAGTTCGGAACAACATTTTCCATTTCTCTGATGAATAATTCGCCGGCAGTGCGCACCGCTAACGTGGACATATTTAAACAAATGATAGGAACAGTGGCGTAACCGTTTACCAACTCTATAAAATTTATTAACGCAAATACAATAAAAAAATGCCGATAAAATCTGGCAAGGTGTAGCGTGAAGACCATCAACTGCTACTGCCACAAGAATGCTAAAAGGCACATCTAAACACTTAGGTTGAAGATATGAATGTGCACACTACTCTGCACTAACCATTTAACTAACTTTCAGTCGCAATTACTACTCAGAAATATGCAGAAAAAGACTAGGAAAAGATTACATTGCCTTTTGTTTTCTGCTTCAAAAGAGGTTTACCCAGAGTTTGCGAATTTCCACTGCGATACTTCCTACAGTCTCTTCTGGTGATTCCTCACATAACAAGACGTATTTAGTATTCCAGTATCTTTGAAAACGAACGGAAAGCAATATTCTGAGAAATAAATCATCGAACAATTAATGATAAAAAGAGATTTTGTTAGAAGCTACCTGCCAATATCAAATGGCGAAAATGGTCCCCGATTTTCAAAGAAAAACCAAGAAAAGTGATTCGAACTGAATAAACTAATTGCTAAGCTTCTTCACGAGATAACCCTATACCTGACTGGACTAATCCTTTTTCAGCTGGTTTTTCTTCATGACAAAAGCTTTTTTTATTAAGAGATTTGATTGATAATTGAGTTAAGATGTAGTTTATTACTTGAAACCAGCAACTAAGGTTGAGAATTTGTCGTTCTTTAGTCGGCATATATGACCTTCAGAAAAAGAATGGAAATTAATTATTGTTTCCTTTTGGCTCCGTCCAAAAGCAGTTCCGTAAAATGTTGAATCCAGTAAGCAAAACCTTTTCTTCCGATAACCGTCAGAAATAGCCGTCAATTGAAGCGACTAGGAATTTTGAAAAGGCTAACTTTCAGTTCGAAAAGACATTTAATAGCTTAAGTCAAGCTAGCGGGAAACAAGCTAAACAAAGTGAATTTTATAACGATATTCCAGTCGTTATAAACAATTGGTAAATTAGATTATTCAATCAAAATGACTTAGATGTCTCTTTAAACCCGCATTTTTCAGTTCACATAATTTTCGCTGCATATGTAACAGACCTTTGATTCAGTTAAAAGACATTTTTGCCTTTTGAGAACTCAAAATTTATCTGAAGATCTGTTTTTTCTCTTATCGATAGCCTCTTGCACATTTTTCTTACTAGTTTATTAGGAATTAACATTTAGAGGCTACTATGTGGAGCTGAAAGCAAATAACAAAAAGAGAAAAGAAGAGGATGACGAAATGCTGATAATAAGATCACTTTCGCAACCAATCGAAGAAATTTTGTTTTATAGCGAGAACAGACTCGACATCTCGGAGTCGGCCCAAACGTACAAAGTACATTTATCCAGCATGTATGAAGTGTTTGACGTGTTTCAAACTCTGATGCAATAATTCTAGTCCAGATAGAGGCCATGTTAACTTTTTCAAAGGTTCCTCTTTAGAATTTTTCATTTGCATGTGATAAGAAACAATTGTGACCTCTTATGACGCTTCATTGCGTCTTATACTTACCGAAAATCACAAGTATTTTGTTTGAGATTTAGATGGAACTGAGCGAGTATCTAGCTATACTAAAGTTAAAAATATTACCAAAGCTCTACTATCTGTATCTAAATATAATGGACTCCGATATTTCGCTTATAACTTTTTAACGGTGAATGCTACAGACTTGCGGTTTTTAGTTTCTGAAACTAGACACTGGGGCACGTAGTTCTGTGAAAAAATCATGGCGTTCGATCAGGTTTGCCATGGTGTACCATTCGAGGCAAAATCCGAAAGCTTACCGTTCCTAAACAGCACTATGAAATACAATCTCCTATAATACCATTTGATAGCCGAAACATTTCTCTTCAAAACTACGCAAGGCCCAGGT